CAGTGAAGCATCCTGAGACTGCATGCAGAGCATTGATGCCATTTGCCCTGGAGGTATCTGCCAGATCCTGGAGCCAAGTGCATGGTTGACAAAATCAGGAGATAAGGATGGTTAAATAAAAGCATTTTTATTTAATGAAATAGCACTGATAGAATTGAAGAAAGCTCTTATCTGTCTTAAAATAAAAATGGAGAGGAAATTATGATAAGCTCCAGGAAACATAGAAGTTTCTCTTGTTTAACTGATTTGCATAGTCTATATTTAATTTTAAAATATTCAGTACCATATTCGTTTTATGGAAATAATAGTATATTTGTTGTTTGTAGACATAAACTTTAATTACCAGTCAAATAAAGGACTGTTTTAACATAAAAACAAACTCTACTGGTGATAAGCAGTTGAACTTAGAAGATCATTTCTTTATTGACATCAAAAGTTCAGGGAAGAGGCAAGTTTTCTAACAGTATATTTCTGCCAGAACATAAAATTATTTCTATTAAATAAAATGATTAACGCCTAAAAAATTAAACCCATGTGTAGTATCAAACAAGAAGATATTTTTTAAGGGCAAATGAATGAATTCATTGTGATCTAAATTAAATATTACTCATAATAATCTGAATTAATTTGACTTAAATTTAATCCATTTTTATATTTAAAATGAATAGTAAGAAGTTTTTTAAAGGTCATTTAAAAAGAAAATGTGTGAAATTAAAATCATAACAAAATTTCAAATAGTTTTTTTATACTAGTGAATTAAAGTAATAAATGTACTTACTCCATTTAAAACTACTACATTTTAAATATCAATTAAAGTACTGTTTCTTGAACTGTGAACAAACCTATTAGTGGGATCTGACTAGCATTTTTATTTAATGAAATAGCAAGAATCAAAGCACTGCACACATTTAAAGGTGAGTATGCGTTGTGAAAATCTTGTTTCATTGTACATGTCAGGAAGGGGAAAATTAAATAGAATGCATTTCTTTCTATGTGTCATAATCAAAACCTGTATGAAAGCCACTAAGCTTTTATGAATTAGCATCAAACACTCAAGAGGATTTCAGGAGGGCAAGGGCAAGTGCCAGCAGTTCCGCAATTGCTGAGTTACTACCGTACAAGCAGCAAGGGTTTGGGGTGGGAGAGGCATGAGCTGTATTTAAGGTAGAAATTTTGTCACAAAGAAACAAGGCAAGGATCATTGCAAACAGCATGTAAGGACAGAAGAGCTAAAACATACCAAGACTGAGAGACTGCACTTATATCAAATTGGTTATTCAGAAATGACCCCATGGTCTGGGGAGATGGATGAAAGAGCCAGGGGGGCAAGGACCCACTTGGCTTTCAGCTGGAGCCACAAAGGGAAGCCCCAGATTTTGCTCAACTTCTTCTGATCACCACCCGACTTTTTTTCTTTTACTGATTTGCCCATGAACATGATGCTGACTCTCAAGTACTGCAGAAATATCACACAATTTGTTTTTCAGAGTTCTCTTCCATATTTCACATATAGGTGATCACATCTGAAATTGACAGATCCCTACTAGGCAGAGCAGGGGATATCAATTGCTCTCTCTGATGACATAGAAACTGTGGAGCTGTTGGCACTCATTGTGTGGGTGCTCAGCCTGGAGGTTCCCAACTCTTCTTCAAACAGCTGCTATTCCTAATACAGCTAATAACCATCCATCTCTGCCTCAAAGAGAGAACAGTCCCACGCGAGATGACTGCATTGAGCACATGCTCTCCTTGTAGTTTAATGTCAGTTTACAAAAAAAATGTCATTAAACATACAAATTCTTTCTTTAAGTCAAAACATTTGAATTCAATGAAATATCATGTAGCATTTTCTTGTAGACATTAATTAGCAGCTGGACAATACATATCATCCTTATTGTAGAAAATGTTTCCTACTCAATTAATGTAATCCATAACATCAACATACTGAAGAAACAACATGTAAACCTCAATAAATTTATAAAAATCCTTGAAAAAAATTAATCTCCATTTAAGATTTAAGAAAAACTTCACCAACTTAGAAATAACAGCAAATTCCCTCAATTGATAATAGGCATCAACACCCTATAGAAGAGACTGATGCATTCTTCATAGGACCAGGAAAAGGTAAGAACCCTAACTCTCATCACCCCTATTGATCATTATAGGAGGTCTCAGGCAATGCAAAAAAATGCAAGAAAGAGAAGCAAAATGAATACAGACCAGAATGGAGATCAAAGACAACCTGTGTTCCCAGATAAGATAATTGCATATTTAGAAAATATCAAAGAATCTTTAAAACAAAAAACTATTAGGACTAATTTATTTTCTCAATCTTGCAGGATATATGGTCAATATACAAAATTAATTATTTCATATAGCAGCAATTAACATTTTGAAATTAAAAATACCATTCACAATAGCATCCCAAAGCTTGACAAATTCAATGAAAAAATAAATAAAATGGCAATTCACAGAGTGGGAGTAAATATTAACAATTAATATATATGATGATAACTTGTATGAGAATATGTATCAAGTTCATATGATTCAACCATAGGAAGATAAATAACCCAATTTCAATAGGCACTTGAATAGATACTTCATAAAGGAAGATACAGAAATGACTTATATACCCATAAAAATAATTCAACATCATTATTCATCAGAAAAACATGAATTAAAACCAAAATAAAATACAACTAGACAACCACATGAATGGCTAATATCAAAAGAACAGATTATACCAAGTGTTAGCAAGAGGATGGACCTAACTGAAGCTATCATACATTTCTATTGGGGATATACAAGCAATTTGAAAATTATTTATGAGATTATACTTATGAAGTTAAACATACACTTTCCATATGATGCCACAATTCTACTCAGGTTATTTTCCAAGAGAAATGAAAACATTCTCCAAAGCCTTGTAAATGAATGTTCGTAACAACTTTGTTAATAACAGTTTGCAAGTGGAAACAACCTGAATACTCACCAACACATGAATGGACTTTAAAAAATTCTTATGTACATATAATTGGTAATTACTGAGCATTTAAAAAATAAAAAAGCTACTAATACAACCAACATGGATTAATTTTGAAAACACTATGTAGAGTGAAGGAAGTCAAACCCCCTAAATGTGTTCCATAATGACTCCTTTCATGTGAAACTCTAAAAGAAAAAATATTTAATCTACAATGATAGAAAATATATCAGTGATCAATAGATTTACTTAAATCACCATATTTATAAACCACTATAGAATTTTCATAAACTAATTTTTAACTGAAAACATTTATTTTATACAGAAACCTAGTATCATTACCACAAATTTAAAAGTTTGCTTGCCATGAATAGAAGATAACTACGTAAGCCATCAATGTTACTGCATTCTAGTTAGATATTTTGTGTTTTCTCTCTGTTTAAAAGAGAAAAGAATGAAGTATTAAAGACACACTATCTGGAAATGAGAAAGCTTGATACAAAAGTCAGGAAAACTAAGAAAATTAGAGAAGATATCATCATGTAATTAATATTATTTAGTGTTTTTTCCAAAAATTTCTAAAAATTTTTAATTAGCAAATATTAATTGTACGTATTAATGGGGTTCAGTGTGGTATTTTAATATACATTTCAGTGTGCACATATAAAATTCAATATCACATGTGTTTGCCATGCCTACTCAGCTTGAAAATTCTTAAAATCTTTTCATATACCACAACTGGTACTTGTCTCACTCTTAGGAAATACTGCTCTAAGACATTATCTTATATATACAACCTCAAAAATTATGCTTGGCCCCTTTCATTCCTTAAATCTACTTGCAATCTTGGTTTTTAGATTGCCCTATTCTCTCTGCCTCACATTCCATATATTTCTTTATTTGGTGGTCCTCTGAGATCTATCTATCATGAACATTTTTCTTTGTTTATGGTTTTTTCCCCAGTTTCTCCTTGGGCCAGAGATTCATTGTTTAGATTGAGATGAATATACAGATTAATTTGAAGAGGATACTCATATTAACAATATTGAATTTTTTAATCCATGAATGTGGAATGGTTTTTTTTTCTATTTTTTTTTAGTTCTTCTGTACTGATCTTATCCATAACTAAGTACAAAAGATAAGGAAATATGGAGGGAAGTCCTTTCATCAGCTGTGTCAAGAGTCTCTTTAATGTGTCATCTCAATAACAAATTATCCACAAGACCATGTTCTGCCAGTCAGTATGAGTACAAGACAGTACTTTGTAACAAAAGAACAAAAAACTTCCTATGTGGCTGGGAAAATTAAAGGTACTTAGAGCATCTAAAATGCAAGTCCTTCCCAGTCTAACTATGAACTCTGATTAAGTATTTACAATGAATTCTATCTGAGTCCATGTTCTACCCTTAAATTTAGTCAAAAATCAGTCTTTCTTCTTTGAAAATCCACTCAATTGAGGCATAATCTCCATATAATAAAATGCATACATATTATATTTTTCAGTTTGGTGAGTTTTTACACATACATATGACCATATAACCACCACTGCATCTCGATTATCCCAAAATGTTCTCTGTCCATCCTCACTTCCACTAGGGCTAACCTAGTTATCTATTTTCTGTCAGAGATTAGATTTGTGCTCATCGTTTCTTTCCTTTGTCTTTCTTTTATTTGTATACATATCAATGTTCCTCAATTATTTTCCTTTAGAAAAATTTATAAAAACTTACATTTCATTTTAGGTCCATTACTCACTTCAAAAAAGACAATTTTTATGTGAACAAATCTTTTCAAAATGGCTATGCCAGTGTCAATGTTTTGACAGTGAGGTGCAATATTTTTTAAAAAAAATCAATGTCAACTGGACTCTAGAGAATTTTATGAGTCAAGAACAAAAAGAGAATAGTGAAGCATATTTTCTTATTTAAAAAAAATAAGACAGTTTGATTTCCACTATTTATAATTTCCCAAGATTAAAAGGAAATTTGAAATGAATTTTAAAAATAATACCTCTTACCTGTTGGAAGGTGTAGTGTTATATTGTTGCAAAAATCTGTGAAGCAACATTCAGTTTTGGTAACATTGTTGGAACTATGGCAGAAGACTTGAGCATTTAACTCTGGGAGGGAGACACAGGATTTGATCACCTGTTCTTTTCCATTGGTTAGCATGACTGAGGCCCAACATGCTCCTTCTGTTTGGCAGGTAAAATTTGAAGAGTCACACAAAAGACATACACACTTCAATCCTGCAAAGAGTAAGGCAAATAGCTTTAAAATGCAAAAGAGATCATGCAAGTTCTTTAGTTTTACTTGAGAATAGAAAATCAACCTTTATAAACATTAAAGAAGGGTTTAAATAAGCAATACTTGATAAATACATGCTCTACTTTTACAGTATCTCAATATTGTATTTTGTTATGTAGGCTATCCAATTATCATTTACTATTGCTAGTGTTTGTGAATTTATTCAGCTGCTACTATATTTTCATTATCTGTGCTCTGAATCTTTCTGAAGCTTCATCAGTTTGTTCCTAAATCAATAGCTCCTATAAAATGCTAGGAAACAGTATCACAGCAACAGGGGAGCTGTCCAGCATCACTCACAGAACATCAAAGTATGGTTGTGGCAGCTGTGTAGCCAAACAAACCAATGTTCTGTTCACTTACCTTTCCCCCTTTAACCATTTAAGTGCATTTGCTACACACAGAACTAACAATAGAAATTTATATCTCAAAAAAAATGGTTGTGATTCTCTGTATTCTATGACATTTTAACCTTATTGATGTTGTCAAAGTAGCTTTAAGGCATTGATGAGCCATTATACTTCTCCCTCTTCACTAAGAAATATATACATCTTAGAATGGGAGTCATTTGAACATAGACCATGACCTTCAGGCAATTCTTTCTAAGGCAAATCTCTCCTCCATAAAGAAAAGAACATCAACAGTAGAATTTAATATATCTGTAACAATAAAACTTTCAAAAATTATATTTTTAAAAAATTAATCTGTTCATGTCCACATATACCTCAATATTCCCTTTACACCTCTCTCTCTCTCTCTCTCTAATGAAGTGGTACACCATTTCTTTGTGTAAAATGTTTACCAATATGAAGTGTCTAGTGATTGTGGGGAATTTAGTCAAATTTTATCTAAGTAGATTATTCCTAAATACTACAACACTAAATAAGCTTTCTGTATTACTTTGATGAACTTTTTGGTAAATCCTAACTGCCTCTTTACAATTATCTGAATGTCCAAAATTTTTACCATGTAACCACTGTTAATGAAATTAAAGACTTTAAACTGATAATCAATCAATTTAGGGATGATTTCATATTCACAAAATATTTGGTATATAAATGATGACTTTCACTCAACTTCAAATATCAATATGGGAGCAAAATGAGTAATATTCCCATATAACTGGGATGTAAGGGAAAATAATTTATACATTAATCAGCCAAAAATTATTATTATTCTTTTTTGGTAATTTTTCTTGACTTATAAAATACCATTTAGATCATATTTTAGCAAATATTTCCTAAGGGAAACATTATAAATATGTATATTTAAAATATATATATTTTTTTTTCTAAGGGAAATGCAAATCCCCAAATAAAATATTTTGTTACCAACATTGGATCCAGCACAACAAGCTCACTACCTTATTAATTGCAGTATTGATCAATGTAAATACACATACTCTTTCTTCAATAGTTATATGCTATAGTAGAACTATATATTATATATTGATCTGGATCCCACAGAGCTATAGGTACAAAAGCTTGTGATTTAGAAAATGTGTTAAGGTAGTTTTCTTGCATAAATAAGAGTTCATATAGAGAGCATTCATTAACCCACTGTCTTTTGGCAGTGGAATCTCTCCAGCATTTTCCAACTCCAACCTGAAAAAGGCCTTCAAATGCTGCTTATACTAGCTTTGTAATTATAGGCATTACTTGGTCCCTCTGTGCCTCCATTTCATTTTATGAAAGGTAATAATAAAAATGAAATATGCATCCTTATAGTTCTGCTGTAAAGAATAAATCAGTTAATCTATGTAATGCTCTTAGCCCAATTTCTGGCCTACAGGAAAACCTATAGTGAGCATCTCTCCTATGACTGGAGAGGATAAAGCCAGTTGTCTACACAAACAATCAAAACATATGTTTAGTCCATAAGGGAATGGCTGAATGATTTAGGATGTAGAGATCATTTTAAAAATCATGATAAAGAAATGCATTTCTCTGCTCTGCCAAGTATTAGTTGAATGTTCTTATTCTGTTGATGGTCCAGACTAGATCCTAGATGGCCACAGAGCAAGTGATGGTTGATGATAGTCTAGACAAAAAATTCAGAGAAAGAGAAAGGTTCTAGCCCTTACCTTGTCACTCAATTGCTGATTGACTCTGGAGAAACTATTTGACTGTACAGAGCCTTTGTGCCTTTCATTGGAAATGGGAAATAAACCAGAGTAGGGACAGTGCATCCAGGAATCTTAAAGTCTCATATATTACCAATATTTTCTAACTCTATAATTTACATTTATGGAAACCTATTATTACAAAATATAGAAAACATTCAACAATTAAGATACTTCCCCTCCTTCATTGTTCTTCACCCTTATAATTTAAGGTGCTAAAGATGGGAAGAAGAGTAACTCTTGTGATACAACCTCAAATCATCTGTAACAAGATTCATTAGAGTCCTTGAATTTTCTTTTTCTAAGAGAAGCTGAGCCAGAAAATCAAGGCAAGTAACCAAGGAATATGGATCCACTCTCTAAAGACAACCCTGAATTACTCAACAACAAATCATGTGCTAGTTCATGTACATTCAGCATGGCATATAATTCCCGGTGAAGCTATGGGAGTTGTCACTATCACTATTTGATAGATACTGAATGAGGCTCAAAAAGATCAAGTGATCATCTTAATCGAACAGTCTCTAGACTACACAAGCAACACTATTTCTATCCCATCAAAGCTGCGATTTTCTCAAAAAAAAAATTCTCCCAGCCCAGTAGTTTCTAGCAACTGTGAATAAAATATAATTGTTATACAATAGAAAGAAATTAATATTTAATTAATAATTGATAACTGACTTTTTATCTGTATTGTTTCAATAAACTTTTAAAAAACTGTTCCTATTTTTAAACAAATTCAACCTGTCCATTTTCTGGTGAGACATATGGTTAAATAAAAGTCAGTAGCATGTGACTTGCATCTAGAATAAGTAATCTTAACTTTCAGCTTATCTAAATTTTGTATTAAGTAAATATCTAAATACCTGTCCTGATACTTTCTCTTCCAAGCACTAACTGGTTCTTATAAAAATATTACATAACAGTTCTTATCAAGGAGTAGTGTGGATACTCACTGAATGTTTAATAGGTGTTAAAAATTTCCTTCAGCTTAAAGTAAAAGTTACCATCCAGAAAAATATAGACCTAGGTAATAGAGTTAAGACAGAAAATGACAGCTTACTTTAAATCTTGCACAATGGAAAACACTGACAAAATTGAGGATTTGTTAATGATAATGGCTTTCAACATCTGCTAAATGTTCCTATTCATTCCAGGTCAATTAGCAGTACTATTGCATGGACAGAGAACAAACAGAAAACCAAACGGGGCCTATGATCTATAAGTAACATATGACATATTTAGGCTCTCATTTTTCATTTTCCACTAGTCCACTATGTAGTCACATTTGACACATAACTACTTAAACTATCCTCAAAAATTCTATGTTGTATTAAAATTTAAGTGGTCTTGACAATGAGACTTTTGCTTTCATATTGTTTTTTAGAAATCTGATATTAATTGAGTCAATTATATTAGAATATTCCATGACAGGATAAATCTGGTTGTTAGCAGACAGTTGTCCTGCCTTATTATTCTTTATTTTATACTTTCTCATTACAATGTACTTGAGTCATATGGAAAGGGATAGCAAATGAGGTTGAAGAAGAGGCAATTACCCATAATAAAGAGGTCTATTAGATTTTTCCCCACAAGGAAGATTGCACTTTTCTTGTGTCTACTCCCACCCCTTTAATTATCTCCCTTTCACTCCCTCTTTGCCAATTAGTCTGTAAAAGCCAAGACATCTGTTACCCACAAGACATCTGTTACCCACATCCACCAAAAGATGTACACATTCCCAATCAACCAGAAAATAAATTTTCATCCATATTTACAGTGGATGGCTAGCACACCCTGGTGTACAGAGTAATATCCATCAGACAACAATAAAGAACCAAATTTATCAATTTGCACTTATGCCCTATTCTTCTTTAAAAGCCAAATATTTCTTTGACAAATAGTTGTTTTTTGAATTAGATATTATTTTTAATAAGTTGGCTTTATATTACTTGTTTCCCATATTTTGAGGCTATGTGCTAAAATATCTATTGGCCAAGGCTTAATGTCAACCTCTAATATATATCCTTTCCTCTTTTTCAGACATTATTCTATTCAGTTTTTCTAATTTATGACCAGAGTATCAAACACAATATAGAGTTGTTGTTTTCTTTTTTCAACTGAAAAAGTGTCTCAGATCCTTCTGAATATGTGATCTTTCCATCATTTGCAGGCTTCTGAGCTTGCAAAGGGAACAATTCAAGTTCATCCATGTTCTAAATCTGAAAAGTATGACCATAGCAAAGAAGCCAGGGCAACTAGTACAGTGCACCTAAAGGAAACCAGACAGTCAAACAAACCAGACAAATGTCTGTCTTCCCTTTCTAATCCTTGCTAAAGTTTTTAATTTCATGCCATGTGGTCATTTCAAAGCACATGCCTTTCTTAATTGTAAGGAAAAATAGAAGAGGGGAAGAAAAAAAATTATTATTAAATATGGGCAATACAAACACAATTTTTTTTTGCCAAATGGACTTTGAATAAAGTTTCAGATTATAGAAATTCTATTTGCCAGACTGTATCCAAGAAATGTTAGAACTTCCAAAATACGGCAAAGGAAATTTCTCCTTTGTGCAAAGTGAAACTTTGTTCAAGAAGGGCTCATTCTCATAGCTAAGAGTGCCTGGAACCACCATACCAGAAGGTATTCTGCCCAGGAGAAGTGCTTCAACTTCCAGCTTTGGGGCTCAACACTTTGTGAGTTATAATATTAACCACGTGGAACTTCCTCAGTCTAAAGGCAGCACTGAACAAACCAGAGCATTCAGCTCATCTCTGCCACAGCTACCTAAGAAGACAAATTTCTCAGTATCTCCAGAC